ACTTTCAGTGTGGATCGTTTAAGCAAAACCAATAGCTGCTCATCGCCTTTTTTTGGTATCAGTCCCTTACATCTAAGAAATTAGACAGACCGCAGAAAGGTCAAACTTCATAGGTTATATATATTAACCGAAGCTATACTACTGCGAGTGTCAGTTCTGCCACTGAGTCGATTGTAGCATCCCGACTGACCCTGGATACCTAAATGGTGAAGGTGCGATAGAATACAGCATGAAAGAACAGTATGAGAAAAAAAGGTAAGGGTGAGATAAGACGTTTCGGTCCATTAAGTCATATACGTTTTAACTCAACACCCGACAAGACCTCGTGGCAATATGACGGTTGCAGTGCGCTTAATGGAAAAGGAAGAGAAAGGAGGGAAGGAAAAAAGAAAAGGAAAAGCTATGATTGTGGAATTAGCGGGAAATCCCCGAAATGTTTGTATATAAGAATCTGTAGAGAAATACAAGTACTGTTCATAATCCATGGGTTTCATCATCATCATTATTTATCGAAATTCAAAATCTTCACAGCAAACTTTATCAGTTACGATGTATTCACATATAAGTTGTTACTTGTTTGCGCCTCACTTTTCTAAACATATAATCAAAAAAACCACCCCAATTGCGATCCGGGAAGCGATAAAGCCACAGACGCATATTTATCTCAAATTACCAAGAATACCAAGACAGCTATGGCTTCCAACGTGGATATCCCCTGCCGGTAATGCTACTGGGATGTTTCATGCGCAAATATGCCAGGCCCTCTAGGCTATATACCTTTATTTAGTACCCACCGCTTGTACTCGATGTATGTGCCACTAATGATAATTTCTATTATTTATTCGATATTCATAAAAATACACATATTTTTATAAATTTTCATTTTAGCTCGATTATAAACTTGTTGAAACTGTCAGTATTATCATCGTCAACTGTTAATATTATCATTATCATTATTATTATAATTAATTATATCTTGGATATCCGGTGATGTTTTTCTTGATAAAATTGTTAGTATTATCATCATTATCTGATGTTAATATTATCATTATCATCATCAATTATATCTTGGATATCCGGTGATGTTTTTCTTGATAAAATTGTTAGTATTATCATCATTATCTGATGTTAATATTATCATTATCAATCATTATTACCATCAATTATGTCTTGGATATCCGGTAGTGTTTCATTTGATAAAATTGTTAACATTATCACCATTATCTTTAATATTCTTATCATTATCATCATTATTATCACTAATTATGTTTTAAATATCCCAGCATTTTTTTAAACACTTTTATAACAGCTACTTAAAAAGTTCATATTTGGACAAAATACGATTTCTGACGTTCTAAAATTTGTAATTTTTGATTATTTTGATTTGATTTGTTTTTCTTGTTATCATGTTATACTTATTTGAAAAAAAAAAATGATATCGTAACAAATTCGAATTATCAGCATAACTGTTAACTTTTCAGGCGTGTTTAAATACCCTCTTGCCGACATTGTTTATCCTTGCTATCGCACCACTCAGCCATGCCCTCAACGAGTCGGTCCCTCCGCTAAAATCATCTTCGGGTGGTTTAAGGGTTTCGGATTCCATCTGGGGCCACCAATTTTACATGGATGATCTTAAGTTATTCGCACGGAATCCCAGGAATTTGGGTCGCCAAATTGAGGTGGTAAAGGAGGTAGCTACGGCTGCCGGTATGACTACAAACGTGGGGAAGAGTGCGCAAGTCCGCTATGATCCGCACGCAAGGCAGGACCCAGATTTGGAAGAAGGTGGAGGTGGTGGTATAGATTTACCAATGTTGGCTCCCACCGAAGCCTACAAGTACCTGGGAGTGGAGCAACACCTGCTGGCTACGGATCGGGCTATCGAGTGATCAATCGGTGATCAGCCTGACCTTCCTTCCAAGCTAATAAATTTTTACTTTTTCCGTTAACAAAGGTAAGAGGTACTTACCAGAAGCAGCTTTCTGTAAAGCTATGTTTGCATCCGATAGTTGCCTTATCTGTTCACGTAAATTGAAATTTGCTTCACGT